AACATTTGGAATGTGTGAGTTTTGTAATTTCGATAGCTTAACTCGACGTGTGTGTTTAGACATAAATAATTCATAGAAGAAAATGTAGCGCCGTGCAGGTTATGCAACCGGGTGGCCCGATTTGTCTCGCGCGCCGTGGTGGTCCATGAAGTATTATGTCTAATCATTCACTATTATTGTTGGTGTTATTATTATATAGTACACGTATTAGGTACATATACATCATCGCCACGGCCGTCTTTCTGTAATCACTAGCCGACTGTATTATACTAACTTCACGCATCCACGCGTCATGTTCACATAGTAAATTGATTTATCGATTTTGTTTATTTAAAAAACAGAACTAGTATATTACGCGTTAAAAACATTATTCAAGCCGATTAATCAAATTTTTATTAATTCAACAATGTTTGTACTCCACTTTATTGAACATTGGTATAATAAAGTAACTATGTTACTAACCAATTTATATAAATATTTGTTTCTATTTTTTATTTGAGCATAGCGCGATTGAGATACACCTCAATATTTTTATTTTACATTGAATATTATATGCGTGTTATTTGTGCGCTTAATTATGTACACTATACTAATACTATTATTATTTAATGAAAAAATAAATCCAATTAAATATTTTAAGACGTTTCGATGATCTGCTAAACAATTAGAACGTTCTGTGTACTTTCACTGTATCAAAAGATGATAAAACATAGAAAATTTGAAAAAAAAATTTTCATAAAACATAAGAAATTGAAAATGTTAGCTATTAACTATAACGCCAATTAACAGCTATATTTGTACTAAGTAATGTAATATAATTACCCAACATACAGTAAATAGTCTATTATTTTCTCACAAACGATAATACCTACATAATTGCTAATTACCTAACCTATTTTGTATGCAAACAATATCGCACAAATTATGGCACAAAAAATATACTATTCATATGCGCTGATACTGAGCGATAACAAAACTAAGACACATGTTTTAAACATCATTGACTTTAGAGAAAGTGTTCAATCTTATGGACAGCATTTTTTTTTATTGCAGTAATGATTTTACGCATAAATAAAAAATATATTCTCGTACATGTACGTCAAAGTAGTTTTAAGTAATAACTCTAGAATTAATTTTCAAAGATTTCCTCTTTCTCATAAGCAGAGCTTGTGAAAAGTGGGCGCGGACAGCCACACATGTAGATGCATTTAGTAGTCAAGCATTACACTCCATCGAACCAAAATTACCTTCTATGTTGACAATTTGATAATATTATTTCCAATATGGCGTGTTCAAGCACAATAATAAAAACGGCGCTTAATTCATCACGCGCGTCTAAAACAAATACGTTTGGTACCACTCCCGATCGAATATTTTTATTGTTGTAATAAAAATTACTAAAGAAAATAGCTTTACTGTATACTTAAATATAAAATACCTACTAAAAGTTATAAATGGTTTTAAGTAACTCAACTCAAAATCTCTATGAACTATAAGACCTTGTGTGCAGTTATTCTGAAAAAATTGCGTTTATACATTTAAAAGTTGGTTCGTGTACTGTTTTCAAAGATAGTGAACTTATTGTGTAGATTACATTAGATTTTTATAACAATTCTATACTACACCAATACAAAATATTCATAGGCTAGATAGCCTAAAAAAATACTGTCTAACTTCTACAATTAAAGTATTGTTTTCAACTCGATCACGTTTTAATTTTTTTTCATTATTATAAGATTTCTATTGTAATCTCACAAGACTCTACCGCAGTAGCAACAACAAGAGTAATGTAATAATTAAAATCGAAACACAAGGGATAGCAACAATGCATACTACGGTGGTAATTAATTCATTAAAATGTCGTGATGTGCGAGACTCCAGCCAAGATGCTCTGTCGACCACACGAAGGCTGCAGCTTAGTCCTATACGACCTGCTGGCGAATTAAGTTATCATCGCCTAGCTGCTGGGTTAAAAAACCCGATTTGATCGATGCGTGTGGTATTTCCTTAAGTTGGTAATTACGAACATCATTATATTTCGTATTTTCAAACAGTTGTGTTCGCCAAACGTCTCGATACCCAACAATACGTCTAAAGAGCCAGCGGACATAATAATATCACTGTGGGTAACATCGTAGAAACAAAACAACATTTAATTAATATGCGCATGGAAATAGCGCGTTTCTCTATTATCGTAGAATTTATTCTCACTTAATTATGCATGTTACCAACCATTCATGGTAACCACAGGGTATTCGTACTCAAACCGCAACTGGAATTACTTGTATTACACGTTTAAAGTACAAATTTATGAATATTTTTTAGTAGCATTTCACCGATTTTTTACAGCACCGTAATACATACATCAGTCAAAATAATTCTGCCTGATTATAATTATTATATGATTGATATGACTAATAAATAAGTAAATTAACTTAAAATATAACAACTTCTCTTGCGTCAGTATTGTTTATGGCTCGAGACTTAATATATTTAAAAACTTTGTTTTAGTACATCTATTATAAATAGACAGTTATGCTTTTTATATTTCTGACATTATACAATGAATATTAATTAGGAATTTAATTACGGGAGACATGGGGAATCACTTTCCAGCCGAAGAAAACAATATTCCCGTGGTACTGTACACCTATGACAAAATTTTTACAAAGTTGGGTATCTCGTAAGTGTTTTAAACGAATTTTATAAATTCTTAAAATCGCGTGCCCTGTTTGTTCTGTTTAACACTTGAACGTTGAACACGAGTAAAAAGGACTCAAACGCATCATGTCGATATCGAGCTGAAATAAATGAGATCAGGTAGCACAACTTCATCACCATTAATAACTGGGTACTGACAGCAGCACAGCTACCCTATAACACTGATAATTGATACGTATCAAAAGATGATTCGGAGTAACGATGAGAACTAAAATAAAAACGGCCGTCGACCAATTACTCGGTGAACGCTGTTCGGTCTCTATAACGTTTTGGGGGCCCCTCGGAAATGTCATTATCCGCTGCGCTATGCGATCACCACAGTTCGGCAATCGTTGGGATGCTGTCGGCAGACCGACGTGGTGGTGGGCATCGCCAGAAGTGTGAAGAACAGAGTGTTTTAAGTACATTACGTTGTACACAACATAATAATAACATGTAATCGGCCGCCGCCGCCGACGACGACGACGTTGTGGCATAGAATCGAACCGTGACCTGCGGCGGCCGCGTTGATTACACACCGTCCTTCCTAAAACGCGCGCGTGCACATATATACGCATACAAACACTAATTACACCTGGGCCACACACACTCGTCGCGCCTTTGAATTATTTGCCGACTCGAAAACGTATACCTTCGAACACTTCTTGCCGTTGCTGTTCCCCGCACCCTCTCCCCCCCCCCAATCCGTTCGGTCCTCGCCGCCGGTGGCTAACTCGATCGTGGCTACCGTGGCTTACACGATGATCGTTTACCATACGTCATCGTCATCGAGCATAATACACACACACACACCACAATTGAGCACTCGGGGTAAAAAAAAAAAAAAAAATGTTTTTGTGCATCAGACAAGAAGGCGCGCGGCGTTCGAGTGTATTATTAGGTCCGGCACATTTTTTCTGTAAAATACACATTAAACTCATTGTTGTAGATACACGATGAAAACTCGTCCACAAAAAGATATCAATCATCTTCAGAGGCGTACGAGTACATAAGGCGTATCGGACAAACATACAAAAAAATACTTCACGATCATCAAAGAATACACAATATAATATAATGTTTGAAACAACAATGACGGCGGTCGCTAGTTGATTGAAACGTTATTAAATACTCCACTGGTCAGTCGGGAACACGAGCGCCCAACCGTATAATGTAATGTATTGAGGGCACAATGACAAGTGAGCGACAAGAACGGGTAACGTCGTGGATCCACACAGTTTATCTAATCACAATCAAAACATTCGGGCGACCACATTTGTTTTAACTAATTGAAATAATGTCAAATAAATATTTATTCGATTTGGTGTCATTATTTGAANTTGAAATAATGTCAAATAAATATTTATTCGATTTGGTGTTATTATTTGAAATTGATATTGTTGAAAAAAATGTGTTCTCGTTTTCATTATTTAGTTTCCGACTTATTTTCGAAATCGGCAAGTAGTAAAAGTAAAATTACTTAATTTTACTTAATTAACTAGCCACAAGTGATCAATTTTTATTATAAGTAGTAAAAGATTTGTTACACAGATTATATGTAATATCTAAAGTACATAAATTATTAAAACTTATCAGTTTTATAAAAAATAAAAATAAATGTATTTATTCGATGAATTTGTACAAACATTAGTAGTATAATGAATTTAGGAGTAAATATAATATTAGATTTGATGTAAAATTTATGAATTCATATCCAGAAACAATTCATTTTTAATATAGCCAAGACAGGTTTTAACTAATAGATCCACATTTAAGCTAATAAGAAAAAAGTAAGTAAAGTCGATTTCTGTAGAACACTTAGTAGATTGCGAAAATAAATTGACAAACTATTAAAACTAGAAAAGAAATTATAGAGATAAAATGAAATGTAAAACTAAATATTAGTTATGGCAAAACAAAAGTTGAGGCACTCAAAAAAATTACAATAAATTCAGAATTAAATTTACTTGTTAAAAATTACCCTACTCAACTATTTTACACTTAACAAAAAAAAAAAAAAATTAATATTTTGACATTAAATGGATAAAAAGGAAAAAATTTATTTTCTTCAGTTTGGAAAAATATTCACTCTTTATTAAAAATAAATGTGTTAACCGCTATACATGAAATGTTAAAGTTGTGTAATATTTAGTCGTTATGGAAATCATAGATTTAATAAATATTATTTTAGATTTGCTGCAGTTTTTTTTTTAGTATCCTTACTATTTTGTCGCAAATATTTGTCTTTAGTATTTATAATTATTTTTTTTCTTGTGCATTTGTTTGACTCAAAGCTTAATATGCTTAATAATCTAAATTCGGAAAGTGAGTATTAGTTAAAAAGTATTAAACAATTATATATCAGTATACTGATTGCTGAATAAAACTACACATGAATCATTTTTCATGAGGAGTTCAAAAGATTAAAACTATTGCATTTATATATATTTTTTACAGTAGAATCACCACAAAATCGCAGAAATGGGAATGTTTCGACCAACATTGATGATGTAGTTGATAACTTAGATTCAAAACTTGCTATAAACGGTGGACATTCAGACATAATTGATTATGTGCAAAAATGTAAGAGTTTATATTAATTAAACTGGAACAAAATTTCAACACATGCATTTAATAATAATACATTACTAAAAATTAATGCGCATGTTATTTTAGTAATTAAATTACTTATTATACATAGATCTTTATTTTTAAATAAGATAAGCAATATTTCAAATGAATAAACTTTTTATTTTTTTGTTTTAGCATGGGACTCAGTTTTGAAAAGTAAGTATGAAGTTTAATCAGTAAAATGTTTTTATACATAATCACAATTATGCACTTTATAGATACGAGATGTGAAAATATTAAATGGTATCCTTCTCCAAATAAGACAACATTCCATGTAAGAGGTAAATATTTGAACCAAACTTAATATGAAATAAGATCATTAGATAAAATAAAATTTTGATTTTTTTGTTTTGTTTAACTTTGTCATATTTGTACATTATTAATAAAAAATTCTAACCAATCATTAATTATAACTTATTTCTAAAGGTTTTGCTACAAATAATGGTAGAAAAAATTTGAACTATAGAGCCGTTGATCGTTACAATAACTATGAAAACGGTAACCGTGGTAATAACTTTATAAATGATAACCGTACCATCAACTATGGACATGGTAATCGCGGTAGAAATTTTAAGAATTACAATCGTACCAATAACTATGAAAGTGGTAACCTTGGTAGTAATTTTATGAGTGATAATCGAACAAATAGCTATGGAAGTGGTTACCGTGGCAGTAACTTTAAGAATGACAATCGTAACAAAAACTTAAGAAGTGGAAGCCATAACAATAATTTTAGAAGTGCTAACCATAACAATAATTTTAGAAGTGCTAACCATAACATTAATTTTAGAAACAGTAATCGTAGCGATAATTATAGAACATTTGATCACAGTGGTACCTTTAAAACAGGAGATCGTGATAATAGCTTCAGATCTCATCAAATCAATAACGGTGTGATATTTCGTGATAGAAACAAAGAGGTATACTTACCATACTTTAGTCTTAATGCAGGAATAAAAAATGAAGAATTCAAACCTAAAATATCCATTGATGAGGTATATTGTAAAATTAAATCATTTTTAAAGACACTAAATTTTTTTTTATTTCTAGCACAACTACACGCGTAATACTTACGGTCATTATCAAATTAACAAGTTCACTAAGCAAAATAAACCTTATCAGTCAAATAGAACTTAAATTTTACCCGGTATTAAATTTACTTCCCTAGTTTAAGTTAAATCATTTAAATTAAAAAAAAATTAATGTATTACTTAATAATCGATTAATTGTCATATAATATGGCCAGGCTATTTAAAACATTTTTCTCATATTAAAAATTATTTTTAAAAACTGTTTAAAAAATGTAGTATTGTGTACATGATAAAACTGTTAATAAAAATGTTAATAACTCCCTAAGTATTATTTCAAAAGTTGTCAACCTATTATTTTTATAATTAAATTATTTTTATTTTTTGTATCTACAACTTTGGCGTTATTTTTTTTTTATATACTAGTTAAATATTTATGTGTGCTGCTATTAAAAAAACACAGTTGAAACTCTTATAAGATATAAGGGTTGAGTTTAAAAAACACTTAATAATTAATAAATCGAGAAATATTATAATCAAAGAGAATTTTTTTTATATATAAAATTATATTATTATTAGCTATAAGTAATTACAAATATTTTTTTTTTCTTCTATTAATTCTTTTATGGAGAAACTAAAAATTGGAAAATCTACTTCAGACATTTGTTGCTAATTTGACATTGAGTAGATTCCAGCATTGTCTTACATTTAAGATAGGAACCATAATTATACAACATCAAAAAAGACAAAATGAATATTCCTGTTAAAAATAATTTACATATTAACGATAATTTATAAAATGTATTACTAGTTTTGTTTTTACATACCTAAAGTAATTACAAAAGAACCCAAGTATGTTATTGCTCCTATGTTAGAATCCCACGGTAAATAAAATTTAAGCCCAAATGACTTTTGAGTGCTAAATTGTTGTCTAGGAGTGTAATCATTAATTTTTTTTGGTGGTTTATCCGATGGTTGTTCATGGTCACTATGGTAGTAATAATCGGGTCCAGAAAAACCACTTCCAGATTCCAAGCGATGAAAATTATTCACCAGCCATAACCCTTCTTGACAACGTGAAGGAGTAGTACATCTTTATTGTAAACAAATTGTAGAAAATAATTTTAAATATATAAGAATTTGTTAGAATTACGTAAATATATTAGTTCTATCATCATTGTAAACAATACAAAAAATATTTATAGAGATACAATTTGTAAATTTCAAAAAATAATTTTCCAATGTTTATAGTTTGATCTTTTATTTGTAATAATTTCTAAAGAAAAGTTTGGCGTACATTTATAAATTTAATTTGAGCCACTTTAAAGAGACCCAAGATCATACAAATTTACTATGGATATATTTAGTAGCGCAGTAATAGTTTTTTCAGTTTTTAGAGGGAAAAAATCTATTCATAAGCTCTTATTTATTAAACTCTCAGTTACAACACTAATTAAATTTTAATCATATCGATAGAAGTTATACTGACCGTGGTTGTTGTCAAAATAACTTGAGATAATTTTAATTTAAAATAAACTTCTACTCTAATAATTATCCATTTATTCTATTAGTTATAAAAAATTGTTTTGATACCTAATATGATGAGTAATTTATCTAATTTACCCTAAATCCACTATGATCCAAAATAAAATAAACATAAACCAAGAACTACAAGCTACCATTAATATTTCATAATTTATCTAAAACAAAATAAAAATCAATATTATAAATTAATTAACACAAAAAAAAAAAAAATTTATTATACATAATATGCTCCAAGAAATGCGACTGTCCAAATGACTAATATAGTACACATTGACACCCAAACGCCAACAAATATAACTATAATTAAAATATCATCGTAATTATCACAATGTTTATTTCTGTTTTGTATTAAATAATTTAAAATTCATCTCTTTCAAATGATTAGATAAAAATAATGGGTATTTTCTAATTAAGTTGTTCCTAATTAAAACTCATGTATTATAATTTAAGGGAAAAAAAAGATAAGTTTTACTCATGTTAAGGTTAAATTTTTTTGATTAATTGAAGTAATAGTAATATTTTATTTGTTTTATCTTCAAAATATATACACAAAATACATTTTACTAAAAATACATAATACTAGTTTAGTTAATATTAATGCAATGTTATATTAAAAATAACTATTTATATATAGTTATAAATAACTTACCATCTCGATCACTAGAGTAGTCAGACACGTTTACGATTATAACACATATTGCCATAGTCTAATATTGAGGAAAAATTATTTAATCATTGATCTATAAATTTAACACGTGTAAAGTTTACACGTATTATATAAGTAGAAATTGTTTATCGTGTTATAATTTACCATCAAGAAAATAGATGTAAATAATACTCCAACTTGAAGTGACATTAAGCCTAAAATTTCTTTGAATTTAAAATTCATTTTTATTTAGAAATTAAAATATTATTTAACTAAAATAAAACTTTACTTTTAAAATAAAAATAATTGTTTATTTATGATAATTACTAGAATGTTGTTATAAAGATCAAAAATATGTGCATTAACACATATAACATGTGTTCAGTAATAAATATTTTTTTAAAATTTAAATATTACATATAATAATATACATGGTAATCCGTTTAACGAAAATTACTCAATTTCTCCTAAATTAACAATAACTTTGGAATTTTATTAAATATAAAACAATATTAATTAACTCATAAAATTTATCTGAACCATTTTCGAGACACTCGATATCGTGAAAATTTTTCCTGCAAAATAGGACACATTTTTTTTCTGTGGTGAGGAGTAATTCCCTACGCTCCACAAAACTTAATTTCTAATTAATATACATTGTTTAGGGTTAAGGAAATATAACTAAATATCTAGTTATCATTTATATTCTTAAATAAATTTAATAAACATAATAAGTCCTAAACCCTATTATTAATTAATATATATACATATTAGCGCAAATAATTATTTAACTATGTTTAGTTACATACGAAAAAAAAATTCGAATATAATATTTATAATATTCTAAAGATTTTTTTGAAATGAGACGATTTTTTTTTTACTTGTCAGTTAACTAAAATAATAATAAGAATAATTTTAATGAGACACACTAAAAATATTGTGGTCATTGATAATAATACTATGGACTGCTTTTTTTGGTCAAAAAAGCCACTTTAATATATTTTTCATTGTCTATAAAAGTATAAAATGTGGAGACACAATGCAGGGTACAAATTATAGGGCATCGTAATAAGCATAAATATTATGTCATGAAATACGTGGTTGAGTTTGGATGATCTAAAAATACTGCAATAATAATTTTAATACACAGTGAAGGGTTCATTCACCAATAATGTAACTGTCGTCAAAATAAATTATACCATTGATAAGCAATGCGGCTTATTTCCAAAAGAAACGCGTAATGTTTGACCACAAAAAAACACTATAAAATGAACGCAAAACGTCTAATGGTTTCTTGGAAATAAAACGGTAGTTATTTGAAAATTATACCTTTATATTTAGTATACTATAAATTCTTAAACACCCACGATCGCACATTGTGTGATTTTTTTGCGAGCAATTTAATAATACCTATTAAGTGATAAAATTATGTGTTATATGAGTCTGGCTTGAGGTTTTTATATTACGAACGCATTTGTTACTTTTCTATGAACGGCAATAATTATTAACACACCTTCAAAGTATTATTTTTATTATTTTTAGCGCAATCTGTAGCACGTGTTTCGGAATATGTCATTTCGTTAAATTGGATTCGCGTCGAGGGGCTCTGAATAAACACCATATAAATTGTTCGGCGTCATCTGGCAAACGTACCAGCGCAGAAGCCTCCGCGGGTGTCAGGCCACCCTTTCACACTTACCTAAAAAACACTCCATGCTGTACGCCATCACCAATCTTCCTAGTGAACACATGAAATAAATGGAGCTTATGTATTGTTTTGGCTAATGTTCTATTAAAAAAAAAAAAAGACAAAACAAAAAATTTTTTATCAACCGGAAACAAAATACCATTTATACAATACCTACTCATATTTAATTTGATATCTTTATGTGAACATGAGTAAGGTCACACGACATGATTAGCTCTTTAATTATTATGTTACACATGTTCATTTGAATAGATCGCAAGTTACCCGTGGAGTTTGATCAATTAACAATATAGAGTTGTTTTTTTTAGTTTTACATGATCTTTTTCTCGTGCAAGGGATCAAGTTGTTCGTTGGACTACAACTGAATTTATTTGGCGTATTCTACAACTGTTAATTTTTTCAAGTTAGAGTATAAACAAGATTTGATATTCTTTTTAGTCATCACTATGATATTAAATCACTAGATGATTAAATAATAAATTAAATTATTATAATATTTCAAATCTATTTAGATTATTTCTCTAAATATGATTCATGTGACAATTTTCGACTACCTATTTGTAAGACAGTAATTAAGTGCCATGAAAATTGATGTAGTTTTCATTAAATTACTCAACTAAAACTTTTATTTTTTCAGATATAAAATTCTTATATTATCAAGCAAAATAAAAAATTATATAAAATAAATTAATTATAATTTGTACTGGCCAAAAGAATAATAAATATTCAATATACAATTCACAATTTAATTTTTATTTTCATTTTTTTATATTGTATTTAGTTAAACGCTATTTAATTTTCAATCAATATGGAAATTGATATTAAAATATCAGAATTAAAATCCGCAGTATTAGTGCTATCATCGCCATTTATGGTAAGTTTTTTTTTAGTCAATGACGGTGTAAATAGGGCTATGCTGTCATATCGACTCATTTAAACCTTTCCTTTAGTAATAATTTTATTTTTGTTTTTGTTTATAGTCATTGGCATTAATCAGCACTGTGGTAAATGTTTTTTCAATTGATCCTGATGCGCCTAGTAAAATATTTACTTATTTATTACTCTATCAAAGAGTTAAAATTAAAAATAAATACATTTTTAACGAACGAATATTTTAAAACATTTTATAGTTTCTTGGGCGGTTATTATAATAATGAACATGTTCGCATATAGTATTTGGATTTATGCTGTGTATGGAGTAAATAAGGTATTTTTAAAAGAAATTAATTATTTTTTTAGTTATTGTATCAAACTTAAGTAATTGAATGTAATTATGTACAGAAGTCCTGTTTGACGGTTCAAATAGCTTCAACTCTCTGGGTCTCTTATATTTTTTTATGGGTTATGGCTGTAATATTTGCTGTAGGCTCAGATAGTGGAGTGAAGTAATTCTTTTATTAAAAATCATCAATAAAGAATATTTAATTTATTTACCATCAAATTAAGAGCTCTCAAAGAATAATACTACAATAAAAACTAAAATTTTTACAGATATGTGTGTTCAAAACAAAAATGTCCCGAAAGCTTATGGTTATGCAAAAATGAATGGCATAAAATCCCAGTGAATAATGTTTTCCATTCTGATTACATGATGGAATATGCAAATGATAATGTTCGTCCTGCTAAAATAAAAAAACTAGAGAGTCGTAAAAGAGATCATAATTCACGTGCAGATAAAGGATTTGTAATTGGAACAGTTATATTCATAATCATTCTAAGTAAGAGCATGTCAAAATTACTTAACGACAACCAATTTTAAATCTGATTTCTAAGCAGTCAATTATTTAAATTACGGAATTTTTTTAAATTCAATATTCGAAATACCAAATTTTTAATTATGAATCAAACAATTCCATTTTATAACTTGTTTATTTTTAAAGAATTTATGCCATTTATCAAACTATTTACAGTACTAAACATTTATGGTTTTACTCTTTTAACAAGATATACTTCTGTATTGGCACGTCAAGATAATTGTTGTAGTACCGATAGAGAAATGGCAGTTCATGATGAAATGTAACAAAACATTAATTGAAATTAATTAAAATTACTTATCTTCTATCGGATAAATGTATTATTTTTAATTCGTTTAATTTTTCTCAGCTTATTTCTTCAAATATTTTACGATCTTCTAGTATTTAAAAAAAAAATGCTAAAAATTGATCAAAAATTCAAACAATTGTTGCGAATCGAATGAATAATCGTGTAAAAAAGTTACAAATTATAGTTTGTACAATTTATTATCCAATCTGAGAGAGCGTAATAATTATAAACACCGTTTTAAACAACTTGTTTTCTGTTTATTTTATATAATGCATTTTTGATATTATATATGTACATTATTGATTATGAACCAAATATTTAATATTTAAATTGAGAATAAACGAATAATATCATTAATATTCTTGAAAAAGCTCAGAGTTAGTGGAAGACACTTATTACATTTTTATTTCAATATATCTCTGGGGTAATATACATAATAAAGACGTAGATAAATGTTTGAAGTAATTTGTGTTATAAAAGTATGTGTGACAGTTTTAAACAGAGTTATTTTCATATTACTTTTAACGTTTCGAAAAACCTATACGATTCTTAAAATAACTGTTAAAGCGCTTTTGTTTTAAACGGAGCGTTATAATGAGATGTGTGGTTTTTGGCATACCACGTGGGCGTGTAAAATAGCTGACGGTGCACGAAACACATACGTAAAGATCGTTTGCCGCAAACGAAGCACTACAAGCAGAGCGCATGGCCGACTCGTTTTCCTTTAGGTTTTCTCGTTAGTTTTTAGTTAAACGAGTCCATTAGTAAATGTCATCAAGGCAGACTTCAAATGTACACAGAGAAAAATTTCATTTAAAAATATTCAGTTTGTTCTTGGAACGAGTTCCAAAAAGATAAATAAACCAACAAAACAATTATAGTTATTGCTTGAAAATTCAGTGAATAATTTTGCTTTTAATTAAAAAATTTACATTATATTATTAATAGTTTATAAACAAACGGCTCCGTGACTAACAATTAGTTACGGTGGTTGACTGGTAAATAATAAACTAGTCCAAAAGTTATTTTACTTAATTGATTTTTAAATATATCTTACTTTAGAAATTATGTATTTCTCTGAATCCAATTATAAGTGCTAAGCGTCTTTAATTATAAACGGTTGCTTTTTTAATTAAAATTTTTTATAATTGTAGCATAATTCGATATCCTAGCACAAGATTAAACATTTTTTTATTTTATCTCCATTATCTAATTATTTATTTTTTATTGTTATAACTTTTGTTATTTATTTTATTTGATTTTCTCCTTCGTATGATTACTAATGGTGCACAGTAAAAATACCGTTTTGATCGTGATCTATGTAAAATTTTTATCATTTTTTTTTAAATGAACAAAAATACAAACTTTTGCTGGGATGCGACAATATATAGGCGTTTCAGTAATACGCTGATCAATCAGTTAATTTATTTAAGTAGAAAACTGTACACGACGCAAGAAAAAATCAAAGAATTATACTCGAACTATGCTGTTATCTTTAATGAAAACTATTGCATCTAAATCAATTTTATCTATGACTACCAAATTGTGATTAGTTTTGGCAGCTGTTTTGACAGATTTTTTAATGGTAACTTTAACCATACACTAATTGTTAGACCGTGGTATTATTACAAGTAATTCTTTGGTAATAGCAAAACACCGACAATCATATGACTTGTCATGGGACCTTGTAACTCAACATAATAAATCGTTGCTCGACGTATTCTCCTTATATTGGGCACCAGCGCATCTTTTTTACACGGCCGACCTACCGTGAGTGATGGCGCCGTCACTGCGACCTAAAACATACACATGTGTAGTACTCATGCCGCCTAGACAGTTTATCCGGCGACAAGTTGGCCGTGTCGTCCGTCTCCGGTGCCGGTTTCCACAAACAAACTGCTGTGGCTCATAAATCTGCATGCGCACCGCCGACGAATGACTACGATGACGTCGGTTAATAATTACGGTTATCATCATTGTCATTATTGTTTTTAGAAATATTGCGTTTCCCAAATCCGTTTCCGCCGGCGAGATAGTATTAATGTTAACAATGCAGCAAACGAACACACACATCGAAAAACTAATTAAAATTATTCTAAATACCTCACATAACAGAGTATTATTATTAGAGCTTCCGTGATGGAACATGAAATAGTAGATGTTGTAACCGAAATATTGCGTTATTTATGAACAAAGTCAACAGATAATAAAAAAATCGTATAATTATTGTAGAAGAAAACTGTGTTATTTAAGAGCAAATAACCGATGGAACTAATATGAATACTCAATTGTTTTTGTTAATTAATAACATGTACGTATGGTTTTAGCATCGACGCGACTCTCAGAAGATAGTAACTTTACTATGACGTGCTTATTAATTTCGTATCTATCACATTTTTTCTCAGGTCTCACTGGGCCGATTTTTCAACGACACGTCAAAAGATTACAAGTCATATTTAATTGAGAATATTACCCTCAAATATTTGAAAAAGCTCGTTTCGCGTAAATTCTGAAAATGCAAAATACATAGTTATGATTTTAAATTGAAACTTATTTACTTAAAACTTTTTGAAAAAAAAACGAATTGAAACAATTTATTATTTATAAAAACTTTGGCTCTTTTCCTTTCATTTCCAACATATCTAATTTTAAGGGGGTTTACACATATCATATATCAAAATATATAATTGAGGCCATTGAATATAAATTTGACGTCAAATTTTAAATACCCCACTTTTTAGGAAATCATAGGGGTCTTTTATCAATTACATTAGATATTTTTATTTGAGTATATTACGCAACCAAACTTAGCTTTTGTTGATAGGCTCATATAAATGCTTACACATCTTCCGAGATTTGTTCATGACACTCTCAATTTTTTTTTTTTTTTTTTACTAAAAATACGGTGATATACAAATTATAATATGCTGCAGATAAAATAATTGTTTAAATAAGAAAATGCTTAGAAGTATTGGAAAGTCTTGGAAACTTATATTAAAGAAAAATTATATTCATTGCACTATAAGAAATAATTAAAAATTAAAATATTTTTATTATACAAGTTATTTTTACACACTTGTAGTTTAATTTTGAAACAAAGTATCGAAAAAGAGTATGGATTAGTTCTTGAGAATGATATAATTTGACATTTTAAAATATATATAAAATGCAAATTTCAAACTAAAAAATATATTAAATATTTAACATAAAAAACCTCCGAAAAATTGCACATATATATTTCGTGAACAATGTTACCATCATAAGTGCTAAAGACATTCTGAGTAAGATTAAACTTAGTTATTTGAAGACATAAATCAAACACGCTTTAATTTATCAATATACATACTTTTATTTATTTATAAAGGTGCTATTAATTGCATTTATTTACATAGCACTAACAATTTTCATTATTTTCTCCACATATTAATTTACATTCTACCTTTATACTTTTATAACAATCTTTTAAATGCTGCCATGAAAATGCAAATAATACTAAAACATATTTTATTCTTATTTATTAAAAAGTTACATGTATAGAAAAATTAATCATTAGGTGTTATATTCAAAAATCAATTAATTATAGTTTTTTAAACGTACTATTTGAAAAATACAAACTCAGTTTACTTACTAAAGAAGACCAGTGAACAGATAAGTGATATTAAATTTTCAGTAATGTTCTTAATATCCACACCGGCTTTACGTAACGGTAACACATCAATGTGATCTCTCGAATATTTCATTACATGGTACAGTTTATTTTGCGGAGGAATGTGAGGTTCATGGTAATAATAGTCGAACGGATTATCAAGTGGTGATCTGTTATACGGAGAATACATTAACCATAAACTTTCTGCACAACGTCGGTTTACACAATACAATCTAAAAATAAAAATACTTTATTTAATTTATTGCAAACTCAACGACAATTAATCAGTGTTATTAAGTTGAATCTTCAGGTATGTTTGACTAAAATAGCGATACCTCTTGTAAAAATGAGCTATTCGTTAATTAAATTAGAATACAAAAAAAAAATGATATAATGACAAAAATGTTTTTCAGGTTTAATTTTAAACAGTTGAATTTAAGGATTCTCCAGAAATTTTTTTTTAATATTTATTGTATTTCATACTATTTGTAATGTAATAAATAATATATTTACAACATTTTCATAGTACACTTACCCATAATTATTTAACCCGTTCAGCAAAATCAGTACCAACCAAAATCCTATAAAAAATGACCAGAAAATCCATCCTATCATTATCATTTTGTATGACTTCTTAAAAAGAAAATTGATAACTTAGATTACATAGGTTTGATAAAATACCATAAATTTATAACGATTAGTTGTTAACATTTGATTGTTCTAGTATAAATAATACAAAAAATTTTACATATTACTTTTTTCAATTACCAATGTTATTTAAGAATTTAAATATCAATTAGTTTTAAACTAATTGTCATAAACTGTGAAAAAAATACTTACATAAAACTTAAAAGAATATAATTTTTTTTTAAATAGCCACTAATTTAGCAACTAGAAACTAACGATTGATTAATTATCATTAATTATTANAACTAGAAACTAACGATTGATTAATTATCATTAATTATTATTATTGGCATTAAGTGCCAATAAAAGGTAATTATTGTATTTTTTAATAATTAAGAGTTTAAATTTATTTATGTATTATTTTTATTTAATATAAAGATATATGTAATTGGCATGTTTTTTAATTCTATATCAGATATTTATTGTTAAATTGGTGTTTTGAACCATTAAGAATAAATCTTAATACATAAGAATAGCCTAATAGCCTAAATAATATTCTCTTGAATGAATACAATATTTCCAAAATGTCAACATTTAAAAAATTTCAGGTACGTGTTAAAGTCAAATCAGTAATAAACTGTAATGTAAAATTCTTCTCATTAAGCTATTGTTTTTCAGTCAAAAGATCAAATTTTAGAGGGTATATTGTAGTGCAAACAGAAATTCACTAAATAAACAATGCCTGAGAATGAAAAGTTTTTAACGCAAAATTAATAATTTTTCAGTTGCTATGTTAGTATATTTTTAAATATTTATAAATTATTAATTTTTTTTATCATAAATATTTGAAGAATTAATAAAACTGCAATGTTATACATAATTGTTTATTATTATGTTATTGAAGGAAAACTTCATAAAGCATTTTTCTTTCGTTTCACATTGATGGGTTGAAGGTATTTGTATATTTTTTAATTTTAGCTTCTACTTAACCTAATTTATACTGTAAAACATATCTTTAACGTCTAATAAAGTTAAAGATATCTACATCAAATTTTGAAAATCTTTCTCTTATAATCCCTAAAAGTAAACTTTTTATGTAAAAATATTTTTACTTTTTTAATGCCAAAAAATATAAGTGTCCATACTAATATCATAAATGCTGACATGCTCATCGCACACGAATATCCCTCTAGAAATCATAAAAGAAATTAAATTTAGAAAGTTAAATAGTTATGTATATAATGTATATAATGTTTTACATGTTTTTAATTAAGATAACATGAATTGCAATGAAAATAATGTACTCACGTTTATTATATATTGACCAATCTGTGCAGTTTACTGTTACAACGCACATCCCCATAAACTGAAAATAATATTAATAGTAAAATTTCCCTGTATAATGGGATAGTAAACAAGGTATAACGAACAATTTTATACAATTTAATTGATTTATATTGATATAGTTTAATTTTTATACAATAAAAAATTATAATTACAATATAAAATATAGATGTTGTAATAATTGTCACTTCCATATCTAAATAACCTAAAATATTATTAACCGGCATTTTATTGAATACAATTAATTATAATAAAAAAGTGAAAATTAGTATGACTTTACAAGACTTAATTTTTTATAAGAATAAAAATTAAATGAAAAAAAAAATGTTTAATTTAAATAATAAAACTATGGTAACAGTCAAATTGTCTTAATAAAATGTTTACTGGTTGATAAACAGTTTTGTACTATTACTTTTGAAGATATTATTAATTAAATATTCAGAAAAGATAACAAGCAGGATAGTGTTTAGCGATTCTTTATTTTAATCATAACGTACAAATGAGGATTCTTTTACGTTTTGCACCCTTTCACCTATAACTAATAAGTTATAATACAAAACTAGTTATCAACCAGTCAAAATTTTATTTGATCCATTTTCCTCTCAATAGTAAAAAATAATAACAGGTTCTCATTGATCTTTCGAAAATTACTCCTGAATTCTACCCTTAGGAATAATTATTAGTAATAATATGTAAAAAATATACACAAGATTAAAAGAGAAATATATACTTAGTGGACAGACAACGAAACACTAAAAACAGAAGGGAAAAAATTGCAAAAAATTTGGATTACTCAATCCACAAACATAGCATGATCACGTGACAATAAAGTATTACACAAAAGAACTTGAAGACCTTGTTGTTCAATGGATAATGAAATAAGAACTATTGTAAATGCACGTAAAATAACTATGTACCGAGTGAAGATGGCTTAGCTCCGGGAGCTAGTAGAGAAACATGAATTCAACAAAGCCTTGCATATGCTTATTAAAGATTATAAGCGCTTGCTTATAATATTATACACTTTATTTTATTTGGAATCGCACAATCTGTAATAAATTTAATTACAATAAGCACGAGTGATGTTCATGTTTAGCAAATATAAAAAAAAATAATATATAGAGACAGTAGGATTGATAGAAGAGGCCAACCAATGCTAGAACTTCGTGACGTGTGAAATTATGGATTATTAATCAATCAATAGGTCGCGACACCACGTTCGCTTTAAGCGCCTTCTCGGATCACCAGGAATAGAGTGGACGGATGTATCAGAGATCAGAAGGTTTTAATGGTTTAAAGTAATATAGTACATAAACTACCTATAATATATAATACTTATAGGCGTTCGATAGAGTGGATAGAGAAAAACTTTTAAATTCACTAAAATACTTTGGTATACCAGCTAAAATAGTAGGAATGATTAAATTATGTATGAATAAAACTAGGTGTAA